TTTTACATTTAAACGGATTCGAGCCAAAAATACACCCGGTTATACTTTATAATTCACGGGGTGTTAATGCCTTCCAACTATTTTACCCCGTTCTGTCCGTATGCCAATTAGTACTAATTCGGTAAGAATTTTTCTGTTTGAAGAAACAACGCACCCATGTTCTCCGACACCAATGGTTTACATATGCTAATTGAGTCTGCAATAGGGAATCACAACGTTTCTATTTCCTGTCCATATGAAGAAGTAAGGATTTGTTACTTCAGCACTTAAACTTTCCTGGAAGATATTCGTTTCTTTTATGAAGTAAAGAATGCTTCTCGGTGGTATGATTTGTGAGGTGCAACAACGGTTTTCCCAGGTACCATAGTTTTTCCTAGCTAATGCGGAACAGTTGCATACAGTTGCAATTTCTGTCACTTTAGACATAATCGACATTGGTCATATGCTTATTTTTTTGACGGTGATATTTAATTGGAACAGTTAGAGTTTTTGTTCCTTTCTATTAGTAGGATTTCCTTTTTCTCTCATTGAATTATTTTGGGTTCGTTACTTATTAAAATTCTATTTTAATGTGTGGTGATTAGTGACCGTTAATCGATAATTATTCAGAAATCGTGAGATGCGGTCTGGTGTGATGTAGGTTTCAGAAAAACATTTTCTTTATCGTGCCAACGTTTCGATCTTTATTGAGATCATCTTCAGGGCTCAAAGTGTTTGTCTTCTGTGTAATTGTGCCATTCTTGCGTGTCGTGTTGAGAGTGCCCACGGGCTAATAATTATTCTATTTTAATGTGGCTATGGTTTATTCCACATTATGGATTTGGGTCTACGGGTTGTTCTAAGCTACTTTTTTAAAAAGCATATCGCCGATTGTTTTATACCTGGGACCGGCTAATGTGTTAGGCTATTTGAAGTCATTTTTTTTTTTGGGGGGGGGGGTTATCAAGGCACTTCCAGACAAATTTTGACGTAATTTCGTAGGCTTGGAGAGGTCTGAAAGTATAATTATAGCTGTACCTTTGAGTTGTTTTTTTTTTACTTATTTCATGTGTACAGGTTACTAATACCAGTTAAGCCTGAATGATGGTTGTGGTGGGGTCGAGGGCCATGTCATGCTCAAAGTTAGGCCTCTTTATGCCTATGCTTAAAGAGAGTCGTAACACGGAGTCAAACTGCCGTCCGTATACCATAGGTTAGACTCCTTTTGTTTATATCTCTTCAGCTCTCTCTTTAATAGTTATTTTGGAAGATTTTTCAATCTAATATATGAAGGTTATGGTAAGTCGGAGATAGTTTTTTCCATGTCTATTATTTTAAATGTATCAAAGATTTTGGTACGGCTGCAAACTAGATGCTGTCTGTTCAATGAATTCTCAGTTACACCATAGCCACCATCCTTTTGACGTATATAGGTAAGGGTGGTAGTTTGAGTATAGTTCCATTGCGGCTGTGGATGTTGTTATAATAACAATGATGCAAGAGCATGATATTCTTTGAATGCTTGCAAGGATTTCCCCTGTCTTTCTTTGTTTTATTTTTGACCACCACACGTAACTTGATTAGTTACCCCAAAATGACTTTATGATCACATCTTACAATTGTCAGACCCATGATCACCCAACGATTCTACATGTTTTCTCTCTTCTTCTTCAACTTTTGACATTGTTTCTTCCAACTTTTTGCAAGATGATTCTTGAATTATTATTATTGCATGTATTGCTCGGCAGTTCTAACCTTCTGTTCTACATGCATGTATATTTCACTAACAGAGTTTATGACTATCCCATAGAAGTGCTCGGCTAATTCTAGTAGAGGGTGGATCTCCTTGCAAAATATCCGCTTCCCTCCATTTTGGGTCCATGGATGTTCTTGATGAAAAGGTCTAAAGGCTTTCTAACTCATTCATATATCTTTCATTTTTTTTAACCTCTGTCATAAAATATTGAAATCAGTCTATTTTAGGAGACGAAATGCGTGTTGCAAAGAATCCTAAAAATAGAATACATTTGATTAACTATTCCGTCTAAGGAAGTCACCAAAAACTGCCCCCTAGGCGCTTCCGAAATTATCGATAAAGTAAATCTGATATAGCGAAAACCCAACGGATTAAAACAGTGAACCTGCTAGCTGATATAATAAATTGAGTTGAGTAGCAAATCAGTTCCAATTTTCAATATGTTTGCAAATTTTAATTATAAATTCAATTAAGAAGTAAGAATTTACCAATATTTTAATATAATCTTACCACAATGGAAAATTAGTTACTTATGAACTTTCATAAATTTAATAAATTCTTGCGTAGTTTTAGTAATTATACTGCCATATGAACTTTGTTGGCTAACTTTTGATCGGAGGGCGTTGAGCTGTTTTCATTGTTTTCATACTGTCCTATAACATGTTCTAAGAAAGTTTTGAACCTACAATTTAAAATTATTTGTTGATTATTGTGACTTTCCCTTATATATATAAAGTGGAAGGTTTATGGGCCGACAAACAGCTGAGGTCATCGCCGGCCCTCCGCATGTATTCCTTCTCTTTCCTGTCTTTCTCGCGTATTTGACTTTCCCTTAATTCTTTTGATTCGGTACGCATCATAATATATCGTTATATTTTATTGTTTCAATATATAAGATGTTTTATTTCTTCAAATATTTCTTTCTTTCTTCTTCTCAGACCCTAACTAGGTTTCAGCGTACACTGAAGAAGATCAACTGAATTCCGATTTCATAAATCCTTTTCAACGGAGACTTTTAGCTTTTTTTCTTCGATCTTTTGAAATAACCTAAATAAATCAAAATGTAAATAAATAAATTCTGTGGCCTTATCTCTGTTAAGGTGTGGAACAGTTTTATGTTGATAATTTAACGCTGCGTTTAAATATTTTTTGCCCGAACCGCTTATTCCTACACATAATCATATATTAATAATTTAGGAAGAATACATTTTTGATATATTTTAATGCGTAGAGACCTGACATTAATGAAGAGCTGTAATTATGCTACTGAAAAGCAAATTGTTGTTTTAAAATAATGACCCAAAGCAGAATAGAGAATCTCGCTTTTCTATTTAATTGTAATAATCAATCCATTCTGGTCTGATTGACCAAATTACTTCTTTCAATTAATTAATATTTTTAAGTACGGTTTTGGTTGAAATGAAAAAGCTAATGTCACGAGCGGGATTCGAACCCACGACGGCTCGAAGTCGCGATAGCTCAAGTGGTTACAGCAGCGGCCTATTGAGCCGAAAGATCGGGGTTCGAATCCCGCTCGTGACACTAGCTTTTTCATTGCATCTAAAACCTTGCATAAAAATTAATTAAGGTTTTTAAGTTGAGATAAAAAAGTCAGTGTCACGAGCTATCTAGCACTAACTTCCCTTGTCAACCTCACCTTTTGAATTTTCCCTCCTTTTTGCCATTTTTCAAATATGTAATCTATTTGATTCTCGGCGACAAATGAAATGGCCACGGAGAGCTTTAGTGAAGTATAATTCATTTTGCTTATTACATTTTATTAGGTTTCGTGATCCGCTTGACCAATTAATGTCTTTCAATTAATTAAGGTTTTTAGTTGAGATAAAGTGGATCGAAGTCACGATAGCTCAAGTGGTAGAGCAGTACCTCGTCGTGGGTTCGAATCCCGCTTTTGACACTGACTTTTTTATCTCAACTAAAAACATTAATTAATTGAAAGATATTAATTTAATATCAAGCGGACCACGAAAATTAGTGAACTTGCATAAAAAGATTAATTAATTGGAAGTAATAATCAATTATTATAGTTATGTAAAATGAAAAAGCAAACATTAGCAATTTAGTCCAATTAAATGGAATCGTATTTTTTATTTATATAAAAATCCTATCTTCATTTATTTTTTAAATATATTCAATAATAAACAAAACGCCTCTTAAAATGAAACACAACATGACACATTTTACAAAACGAACCGAATACTGAATGAATATAATTAATGAGAAAAACTTACAGGCTAAAGGGTAAAGGGGAAATGGATTCCGTACAAAATGAAAGCTAATTGAATCATGCTGTACAAGAATAAGAGCCCTACGGGTTTAATTGGTTGCACTCTGTTCTTACGAACTCATATAACGAAGAGTCATTTAGAGAAATATACAACCCCTAAACTATTATCCAACCTTGTCTAAATCGATTACCAGATGTAGAAAATAAAGTTCGCCTGATGATATTTGTAGATGACTTTTAGAAGACTTAACTTTCCAAACTTTAGCCCAAAGAAATACGAAATGACAATAAATAGTTATTAGAAGGTTACTGAATAGCATTGTTTATGATGTAATTCTCGGCAGAAGTCTGATGTTAAATAGAGGTTTAATTGTATTTCTTAAAAGAGAGGTGGGATTGACCCAGTAAATCTAAATTATCAATCAAGAGTCTCGAAAAGCCGTTTTCCTGTGCATTCAGCTATTTTTCTCTTAAAGAAAAGGTATGAAAATATTTTTGAAACTTATCTTCAAGTTTGTTAATTCGTGAAGTTGGTTTCGTACATATCAGTCATTTGATTAATCCCATAAAAAAATTAATACCTTCGCAGTAGACATAACTCCTTTTAGATTTTTGTACCTAGCACTTATTAGAAAATATTGTGTTTTTTGTTTTTATAAATAATAAAACTTAATTACCTAGTCAGTGAATAGTAGTTTTGCGCAAATGTAAGGATATATTACGTGCTAGACTTAATTAACGTGTAACTGACTGATGGACACCCAAGACAGAATATGTTTACTTTTCCAGTATTGAGAATCTTGAATTTCAAACCTATTGTTGGAAGCTATGCATATAATCAGAATCCAAAATAAAAAAAATTAATAACCGTTATTCTTGTTTTAGCAAAAACCAGTCTTTACAAGCTGAAAAAGGTGAAAACATGTAACACGTAAAAACTAAGCATTTGTTCCGCTTCGAGAACTTAATTCCGTTAAGAATGCCTAACAAGGCCTGATTTAAAAGTAGACTGCCTACCTTTAATTGTCTGGACGTTGTCGCCCATCTGGAAGCTGACGGTGACGCCTGGGTTGACGTGGAAGTAGACGACGTGCTGATTCGGGGCGGTCTGCGGTTCGAACCCGGGTCCGAAATGGAACGTAGCCTGGCCAGTAGGAATCGGCCCCGCCGTCGGGTAGGACCAATGGTAATGGAAATGTTGAGTGGCCAAGTTGGATGTTCCCGAACGCGGGATCTTGCCTTCGTGGTCCGTCCCGTGGTGGTGCGATCTTGGATTGCTGCTGTTGTTATTGTTGTTGGACTGCTGGTTTCCCGGTTGTCCTCCGCTCGACTGTTCGCAGTCTTCTTTCACTTTTACCATATCTGAAAAGCATAATAAAAAATGTGTTAATACATCGAACCACTACAAAATCGATAGTCTAGATTTCTCAATCGACGGTAATAAATCATAAATTTAAAACTGAAACTGAAAAAGATTGGCGAACGCACTCGCCTAATAACGCATGTAACCTGCAGAAACGTAGCTCATGCCTTATCGTCGGCTGGCGAAGATGGGTTTGGAGAGGCGGTTAACCTGTAGATGACAGTCTGACAAATTGAATCGATTCCACTTATCTTCAAAAGTTCTTACTAACATTCAGACATATTAGTCAAGCAGAAGTTGTTGCAAAAAGTTGTACATCCAGAATGGCTGTCAAACCGCGATCCGTTAAATGCGTGTTGCACGTTTCGTCGCAAATTATAAGTACCACCTACTAGTAGAAGGAATTCGTGAAAAACGATGGGACAAAAGGGAATCCACGCTTACGAAGAAAAGGACCATACTTTAAGTTTGCTGTACGTAGAAAACGTTCTTGACTCATACCGTTTTGTTCTATAGTTTTGTTATAAATAGTTTAAGGCAGGGGTCTTGTAGAAAGTTAGGGGGAGCACCAAGACTTAATTAGCTATCCCGGGAACGTTCAAAAACAGAGCGTACCATCTACCGTTTCATACTGGCCGTTTAATGTATAGTCACATCGACGTACGATTACCGAACAATCACGAATTCGAAAAAAAGAAAGTCTTTCTAGCGTACTTGGTGCGTCGGTGAGTTGTTGATGAACACGTACTTGTTTTCTGTCGACCCTGATGTTAAAAACATTTCACCTTATTTAAATAACAGAAAGTTTTAAATAATCATAGACCAGTGAGTCACAACCCGTTTAATACGCCTGGGCGGAAGTCGTCATTTGTATCAAGCCGGTCGGCCCTTGATGGAATTTGTCTCAGAATTCATTCTGAGTACAGAAACAATGGCTAAAACTACCTCATGAAGTTCCAGGTATTGCCTGGATGGTTGCGGCAATATTCGGCCTTTTCGTACAAATGTTTTCCGGTTGTACAAATGAAATTAATTAACTACATAAACAAGCATTGTCTGCACTAGTATCGCGTGTTGTTTTAAAAAGGCTTAACTAAATACTAAAGGCAAGAAAAATCAACAAAATTCTCTGATTACAATAATGTTGTTCTTTCAAATCTAACCAACTAGCATTAGTCTTGCTTCTATTCAAGTTATGTAATCCGTTTTAATAAAAGTAAAAAAAAAACTATTTATAATAACGAATACAATTTTATACAACAAGTATACCGGCCAACAACTAGCATAACCCTGCGTCTAGCATAAGACTAAGAGTAAGACTTAATAGAAGACTAACGGAAGACTGTCGGCCCTAGCGCCTGAGCCCTATTTATATGGAAGTGAAGTTTGCTGACTCAGATGCTGTGGATTCTGGAAGACGGTACCATAACTTTCATAATAGATGATTTTTCAATAAACAGCAAAATAATTTATTTAACACAATTCTACTTAAAAGGAGAGATGAAAAGTTAATTAGAAAGTTCATTTTAGATAAGTTGGTAACTAATACTTAAAGGTAGCAGTGTTTGCGCTTGACGTTTATGAATTATGAACAAAACCAAGAAGGGAACGTTCAGGAAAAGCTCATCGCAACAGTGAACTTAATTCAACTGCTCGATGAGAACCCATACTGAAAATAACTAGCAAGCCAAGCATTTTGCAAAGCCAGAATCATCTATTAATCTACCCTGAGAGGCAAAAAAATTGGCTACAAACAAAGGTTTGTTTTATTAAAACTTACAATATAATTTTTATTTTTTGTTGATTGCTGGATATTTAAAAAACTAATATTTAGCTAATTAAAAAAATTAAACTGAGTCAATTTTATCTTTTGTCAAACTGACAATTTTACCAAAAACGTCGCTACGGAAACAATTAAGGAAATATTCAATTCAGAACGGAGTATTTCCTCCTCTTGCATACATCACCGCTTGGAATCGACGTGGCATTGATTAGGCATAGATCTCAAACAAAACCTTGACTCATCCGAAAACAAGATTTTAGTCCAATCTTGCTACGGAAACAATTAAGAAAATATTCAATTCAGCACGGGATATTTCCTCCTCTTGCATTCGACGTGGCACTGACTTAATGAGGTTTTGAATATAGAGCTGTGGAATATTTTCATACTCCTCCAATAGCGCCATTCTTAATTCCTACAAATTCTCTACCATCAACTGGGCGACTTTCCCTCTTTGAAAGGGAGAACTTGACAACTCGTCCCAAAGGTATTCGATAGGGTTTAAGTTGAGATTACATGCTAGCCCGAATTGAAGCCCGTTCCAAGTAGTCACCAACGAGCCTAGCTTTGGGGGAGCCTTGCATTGTCACGCATAAAAATAAAACTGTCGCCAATTACAGTCATATAAGGAATAAGGAACAACTTCTGATAACACATCTTCAACGTATCGCGCAGCTGTTAGGGAACCCTCGATGAAGATCAAGCTTGTCTATGGACCTTCCATGCCTGACTAAACCATAACACCTCTCCTGTTCTTCTCCAGACCACCTATCTCAGCCGTCAGAAGATCCCAAACAAAACTTTGACTCATCCGAAAACAAAATTTTAGTCCAATCTTGCTACGGAAACAATTAAGAAAATATCCTATTCAGCACGGGGTATTTCCTTCTCTTGCGATGATAATTGGTATTTCCTCCTCTTGCATTCGACGTGGCATTAAGTAGACGTAGTGTTGTGGAATATTTTTATACACCTCCAACAGAGCCATTCTTAATTCCTAAAATTCTCTGACATCACTGAGAGACTTTTTACCCTCTTTGACAACTCCTCCCAAAGGTGGTCGATAGGGTTTAAGGTCGGTACTACGTGCTGGCCACTCCAAACATGGAATTGAACTCCAGGTAGTCACCAATGATCCTAGCTGTGTGGGGCCTTACATTATCACGCATAAAAATATCACCATCGCCAATTAGTGGCATATAAGGAACAACTTCTTCTGATAAAGCATATTCAATGTCATAGAATCGTCGTTGAAGATCAAGTTTGTGCGACATTCCATAGAAATGTCTGCCTTAATCGTAACATCGCCACCTCTATAGTTTCTCCGGAGTGAAAATGTTGCAAGGATACATCGCTCTCCTGTTCTTCTGCAAACCCTCTCTCGGCCGTCAGAAAACCATCAAAACCTTGACTGTTGCGAAACTTAACCGAGGTGTTTTGTCAGAAGTACAGTGGCAGGCCTTCTCGCACGTAATCCAGCTTCTGAAAGTCTTCGCTTTACAGTGCGTAAACTGACATTAACATTAATACGAAGAAGAATTAATACGTTGAAGTTGTTGCTTGTTCTTAACAGAGGTAGAATGGATTACATTCGAAACAGTAAAACGATCAATTTACTGAGATGTGATCCTCAGTAAATGGATCCTCCTGATCCATGCCTTCTTGAGTAACCGTGAGTATCTTGGTAGCGATGGAAGACCTGTCGGGCAGTTGTTCTGGGAATGTACCCTGGCCACATACATTTAACTTCTTCCATCTTTCCAAATGCTATGACTCTAGCCGAATCCGTATCATTTAAAACCATCGCTCAAATAAATTGAAACTTAAAAATAGCATAACATAGCAAATCAAACTACCGGAACGTTAGAAATAAGCTTTACATAAGAACCAACAAAGAAGAGAATGACTATTCAAAAATCCAATTGTAAACACAAGTGGGAGATATTATCAGTGCTTTATTTTCTTCCAATCTTTAAAACGGACCAAATACTATTGTAAGAAATCAATGGAGGATTGTCTAATAGATAATGAAAAATATTAAGGGTGGCCACGTTTATGGCTTCTCAGTGTGCATACACCCTTCCACAATCAAAATTAAAAAATTTTTATTCATAATCGAGGGGACCTTAAATATTGTATATGCATACCAGCGAGAATAAAGTGACCCAGGGAAGTTATTAGTGTCACTTCATCTTAAGTTGATCTATTCATAAGTCAACTAAATTTCAAGTACACCGTTCGTCGATGGTGGCGTCATCAAGAATGGGTAAAACACTTAAAGCGCATCAGAGGAGTTCATCGGACCAGGGGCTGCTGACAATGCGCAATCCGCCAATCACATCATCCTAAAAACGTTCATATTAACGAAGTCTCTACCTGACATGGAATTCATAAGTGATTTTGAATATAGGACTAAAACCGCTAAACGTTTTAAGGATTAATTAAATATGGCATTGTTGGAAAAAGCTAATATGCTAGTAAGAAAACAAAAAACACGGTTCATTAAATGCATGTACATCATAATGCATGGAACATGCAGAAAATAAACTCCCTTACATGTAGGTTTACTGACAATGGAAAAACTCAAATGACAAATGTTGCATATAACGTCTCCCGATAACATGAATTAATTCGATTGTTTTTCTAGAAGCGTGATATTAATTTATAAAAGGTTTAAAAGGTTAAACGTTTTGACGTTAAGAATCAAGGTACGTTGATGAAGTTTATTTGCAATAATATAAATAAGCGGCTGATGTGAGTCACGGTATTAGATGAGATGCTAACCTCATTACGGCAACCCAATTTACCGATCGGTTAAACTTCAAAGGGCTCCCGGAAGGTGAAGTTTTAGGGGAGGATTAAAATTAATTTTCACGCCACGGCGGAAGAAAGAAGAGTAGGACGAGAGCGTAGATTAAGCCGTGGTTGGCAGAAGAAGGTGAGGGGCAAGGAAGGTGTGTGTGGGACGCTTGTATCTCCAGTACGACTTTTATCTACGCCCGGAAGCTGCACTATCTCAGTTATTACAATGGATGATATTTTATGTAGTTTCCGCTCAGGAAGTCCGCTTCGACCTCGCCGATTCACCGAATCTCTGACAGGTTTTAATATTTTTTAAACAGAGATTGAAAATTCTATGCACACTTTTCCTTCGATAACCGTTATTTCAATAAAAATTGAGAAGCTAAGTTAAAATACACCGTAGTGGTTAAAAAGAAG